CACAGATACATACAAAACACACACACACAGATGTACACTAAAGACACACAGATGCACACTAAAGACACACACAGATACACACGAAACACACACACAGATGTACACTAAAGACACACATATACACACAAAACACACACACACAGATGTACACTAAAGACACACAGATGTACACTAAAGACACACAAATACACACTAAAGTCTCACACATATACAGACTAAAATACAGATACACAGGCGAGTGGAACAAAATGTATTTTACTTTTATTTTACTTTATTACTATTCGCACCTTATGTCAAAGCAAATTCCTAGTTTGTGAACCTGGTTCATTGACGTGGCGATAATAAACTGATTCTGATTCTGATGTAACATTGAACAGTCAACAGTTGACGACAATCAAATGATTGGTATCCATGATGATCCTTGACTTATCTATGGTGCTGATTATCAATGCTGTTGATCTCTTGCCTCTAACTGCTGTATTCATACACATCTGCTCACCACAGACTCATGTTCGGGCTGCTGTTTAATATAATGTATTATTTTACATGATTAGTTTTTAGGGCATATCCTAGATATGGTTTCTTTTTATACTTTATGTTACAACCCTTGGAGTGAGTCTAGGAAGCATAGGGTGTAACAATTTGTAAACTAAAAGTAAAGCTAGTAACTCAAAACAACCCAGTTTGGCATTACAGTAATTTATTCATCTAAGAGTTTTGGGCATTAATGAACAGAAGGGAAGTCATGAACTTCAGGCTCTCCAAGATCAAAGCAATAAACAAAAGAATGCCCATTCTGGCTAGAAAACAAAATCACCTCTTGTCTAACAAGACAAAATCTAAGACAATTCCTAAGTTCCCTGGCTGGCAACAAAACAAGAGAAAAGTTAGTTAAATAAAATGGTGGAGAACACCTACCAAACTTCTCATCTAAGCAAAGCTTCTTAAATAGTAAAGTTCACAGAAGATCACAAGTATCTTGTCAGAGATGCTAAAACTCTTTGTACACAGATTTAAGTTCAAAGTCAGCCACACCACAACAGTGCACAGGGGGAAGAGAAAATGCCCAAGGAAAAAGGGGTGTGGTGCTGGATCACTGAAGCTTTTATGCAGTCCACTGATGAGGAGGAAGTGATTCCAGGTGTGCAGAATGGTATGACAGCAGGCCTAGGAAAAAGGAGGAGAAAAGTTGTCCTCTAGTAAGAGAACCCGTAGAAACCAGTGGATGTATCACTTTATATCTTTGCTCTTTTTGGGGTGTAACTGGGACCCTGTATACACAATTTTGTTCCACCTGATGTACCACATGGGAAGGAATGACAAATAAAGAACCTTAAATCCTTGAACAAATTCACTTAAATGCAGTTTATTTCTGTAGCTCCGAGTCCCAACAGAAGTCGTCCCAGGACACTGAACAGAAACATTCGCAGATTTTATAAAAGACTATTCTTAAAGTTTGCTCTCTAAGAAGCAGCAGATTGTGTTGGATCTTCACTTCATCAGTCTCTCATCCTGAGCAAGAACAAAGGAGACAGTGGGAAGAAAAAACTCCCTTTAACAGGAAGAAACCTCCAGTAGAACCAGGATTAGGACCAGCAGCCATCTGCTTCGACCGGCTGGTTTGAGAGGAACAGGAAGTAGAAACAGACACATAATGACAGGTCCAGGTGTACTTTCTATAGTCCATATGTATTTTCTATAGTTCCTGTGTACTTTCGATAGTCGAGATGCACTTTAAATAGTCCAGATGTACTTTCTATGGTCCAAGTGTACTTTCTATAGTCCAGGTGTACTTTCTATGGTCCAGGTGTACTTTCTATAGTCCAGGTGTACTTTCTATAGTCCAGGTGTACTTTCTATGGTCCAAGTGTACTTTCTATAATCCAGGTGTACTTTCTATAGTCTAGGTGTACTTTCTATAGTCCAGGTGTACTTTCTATGGTCCAGGTGTACTTTCTATAGTCCAGGTGTACTTTCTATGGTCCAGGTGTACTTTCTATAATCCAGGTGTACTTTCTATGGTCTAGGTGTACTTTCTATAGTCCAGGTGTACTTTCTATAGTCCAGGTGTACTTCCTATATTCCAAGTGTACTTTCTAAAGTCTAGATGTACTTTATATAGTCCATATGTACTTTCTATATTCAAGGTGTACTTTCTATAGTCCAGATGTACTTTCTATAGTCCAGGTGTAATTTCTATAGTCCAGATGTACTTTCTATATTCCAAGTGTACTTTCTATAGTTCAGGTG